TGGTGCTAGTGACAAGGCGTGAGGCCTCCCAATCGGCCTCTGGGATTGCAGAGGAGTGTTGCTGTCATGGCCCGGACAAGGCGAGGCTGTGAAATAACTGGGCACCGCAGCAGGATGACCGACTGGAACCCTGACCTTGGCGACGGCGCCTAAGACGGCCTGCTCTTTCTCTGGGTGCAGGAGGCGGAAAGGGCCTTCGTGGCTGCAAGTTTCCTGGCTGTTGGCTTTTGGCAAGACCCTCTCTGCCTAATACAGATGATGGCTCCAGGTCCTGAAAGCCTTACTGGGGGCAGTCTAGGCTTCAGGGCCAGGCAGTTGGACTGAAGACACCTGTCCGTGCCTGAGAGAGATGTTCTGCCGCCAGGACACACCGGAGCCGGCTGGGTGGGCGGCGAGCACCCCTGCGCGGGGCGCCCTTGGAGGTGAGAGCCGGGGCGCCTGACTGGCGCACCATCTGTTGAACAGACCTGACCAGTGGAACAGCAGCGACTCGTCGCCTGCACAGCGGAAGGTCTCCGTCCATACCGGCCCCGAGCCCTGGCCGAAGCAGGAACCCTTGGGTGTGGACACCGCCACCCCACACTGCAGCTCCCGGCACACCACGTGGGCCGTGGCCAGGTCCAGGTCTGTGTCACAGATGGTGCCCCAGGTCAGGCCCCGCCTCACCTCCAGGCGCCCGGCGCAGGGGTGCTCGCCGCCCACCAGCCGGGCCTCGGTGTGTCCTGGGGGCAGACATCCTCTCAGGCACGAGACAGGTGTTCTCAGGTCAACTGCCTGGCCCTGAGCCTTAGACTGCAGAAGGCTTCAGCCTGGAGCCATCATCTGTATCTAGGCAGAGGGTCTGCCAAGCACAGGCAGGAACTTGCAGCCAGAGGCCCTTCCCCCCTGCACCCAGAGAAGAGCAGGCGTCTTAGGCCGCGTCGCCAAGGTCAGGGTCAGGGTCACCTGCTGCAGGTGCCCACGTATTTCACAGCCTCTGCCTGTCCGGGGCCATGACAGCAACACTCTCTGCAATCCCAGAGGCGATTGGGAGGCGTCAGGGCACCCCTTGGTCCACTGAGCACCACCCTCTCTGGGGTACTGCAGCAAGCAGACTATCCACCTCATTTCAGCTGCTCCTCGTACAAGGCCAGGAGCTGTGAGGCCAGTGCAGCTCACATACACTTGAGGCAGGGCTGGGAGGACATGACCTCTACCCAACCCCAATCCTTAGACATGCAGAGATCACAGCTGAGGCAGCTCCGACTTACACCAGCAGCCAGGACCCCTAGATGGCCTGCAGGTTCTGAGCCAGGACACCTCTGTGGGGCCACCAGAAACTCAGCTCCGCTCTGCTGAGAACCAGCGTGAGAGCTGAGCCCCGTTCCCTCCAGCTACACATGCACCACGTCTGCACCCATTGTCTCATGTGGGACAGGAGCCCCATCCGTGGGGACGCCCACCCCTTCTCCCTGCTCTCCCCAGGTCCAGGCCCAGCATCATCCCAAGGGTCACTGGGAACATCGCGTGGCAGCCTCACCTGAGCAGACCACCTCTGCATCCAGCCGCAGGTCGCAGCTGCCACGAAAGTTGTTGTCCAGTCTGCAGCTGCGGATGGTGGGCTCGGTGCCCCTGCAGGCCAGGTACTTCCTGACGACGCCCACGTCCCGGCGGGGGGCCTGGAGCACAGGGCCGCACCCCAGCTCCCGGCAGAACACCATCGCCTCCTCCATGTGCAGGCCACAGAGGCGGTCCACCCCGTTCACGTTTCTGATCTCGGGGAGCCCCGCGCAGGGACTGCGGCCCTGCACCAGCCGGAGCTCCCGGAATGTGCCGTCTGTGGAGCACAGGCCCGTCTTCCGTGAGGTATGGACCCAGCTGCCCACATGGTCACTTGGCAGCTCCTTTTTCAGGGAGGACAGTGCTGCGATGCGGAGGGCCAGCTTCAGGGGCAGGTGACCGGGCAGTCACACAGGGCCCGGGGCTCAGAGAGGCCCCCTGTGCCCAGCTTCATGCTCTGCTGCCGGTCTCCTGAAACAAGGGTCCCCACAGGGTCCCTTCACACTGGGCCCCCAGATGATAGGAGGTCCTGGCCAGGTGGTTCCGCTTCAGAGGCAGGACGCTATGAGGGGTCCTTACAGCCACACAAAGTCTGAGGGACAGCTGAGGACCCTCAGGCCAGACCTCAAAGGCAAAGCGTGTACCTTTCTGTCATTTGTGTAAGAAACTACCATCAGCTACCTGTGTGGGCCTCAGGCGTCCACAGACCCTGCCCGCTCTCGGCTGCTGCCTCCCCATGCCTGGGCCGCACTCTGCTTCCTTCGTGCACCCTCTGACTGTCCCTGGCAGTGCTTTTCCCGCAGCTGAATCTTACAGTCAGGATGGTTCCGGTGCCCAGCGAGGAGCCCCTCCCAGAGAGAGCTCCAGACCCAGGGCCTCCCCGCCCACCTCGGAGACCCTCCCTGTCCTCCCACTCCTCCTCCCCAGCCCGCCCCCTTCACTCCTCCCTACTTACTGGAGCACAGCGCGACCACCACCCACGTGTGGGGGCACGGGCTCTGGCTCCATGAGCCAAGGCTGCACTCCCAGAGGGAGGACTCGTTGCCCCGGCAGGACACGTTGTGGAGCCAGGGCTGGGCCATCTCTCCAGGCAGCGGGACATACTTGGGGGCACCCACGGCAGGACCGCAGCCCAGCTGCCTGCACACCACAGAGGCCTCTGCCAGCGTCCACTCCTGGTTGCACACGTATCCCCACACCCCGTGGTGTCGGACCAGCACCACTCCGTCGCACGTGCTGTGTCTGTACGCCAGCCTCAGAGCGCCTGGTCCACCTTCAGACAGACAGGTCCAGTTAGAGGGGCCAGAACCAACCAGAGGCTCAGGAGGAAGCTGGCAGCAATGGCAGCTCTGGCGGCAGCAGGGAACAGCCTGCGAGGCCTCAGCGGCAAGTCGGGTTCCTCTCATCCCATGAAGCAGTCCCAGAGAGGTGATGGGCGCGGCTCACACTGAAACCCTCACCCCATGTGTCTCCCCCGGGGCTGCTCCCCTCCCCGGCCCTCTGAAGCCCCAATATCATGGAGGACCCCACCCCCAGGCAAGGAAGTCCCCTGTCCTCCTGGGTCTGCAGCTGGGGCGGGTCCTCCCACCCACTCTCTGCCTCCCAAGCATCATTCCCCCGCTTCCACTGGAGGCCCTGTGGTCTCTAGCCCACCACTGTCACCCCTGCCCCACCCACGTGACTGTCCACATCCCTTGGAGTGCTCTGCTCACCCCTCGCTCCTGTCCTCTGCAACCCTGAGCGTCCAGGAAAACACCCCCTGCCTGCCCTGCCACTACACCAAACCCAGCCCCACTACCCCACCCACACCAGCCTTCCAGCCAGGATCTCAGTCTCCACAGTTTCCGAGCATCTCAGATGCCCCAGCACCTTCTCTCCCACCCCCCACGGAGGCACCCCAACCACCCTCTCCAGTCCTCTGTACCCCCACATCAACACAGCCACCCCGAGAGGAAGCGCCACTAGGAGGAACTCCATGTGGGTGGTGCTGTGGTCCCAGAGCAGCCTCCAGGGCCCCTGGAGGACTCTCCACACCCAGAAAAGAGCCCCCCAGATGGCAGTCAGGAGCAGAGGGGCGACCCTGCCTGGTCCAAGATGAAGACCTTTCCCTCCCACCTCGTGGGGAGCCTTGAATCCCCTCCCTCTCAGTCTTCCTCCATCCCTCCACACCCCCCAGCCTCCTCATCACCCTCCCACCTGGTTCTCCTCAGGACATGGATGTGTGCTGGTGTCTGTGATTGACTGATTTACTTAGAGACAGAATCTCGCTCTGTCACCCAGGCTGGAGTGCAATGGCACGATCTCAGCTCACCGTAACCTCCACCTCCAGGGTTTAAGCAATTCTCGTGCCTCAGCCTCCCATGTAGCAGGGATTACAGGCGCACACCACCACGACTGGCTAATATTTGTATTTTTAGCAGAGATGGGGTTTCACCATGTTGGCCAGGCTGATCTCGAACTCCTGACCTCAGGTAAACTGCCCGCCTTGGCCTCACAAAGTGCTGGGATTACAGGCATGAGCCACTATGCCCGCTACGAATGGCTTTTTATACTGTATTTTCTAAAGCTATTTCTTGTTGTAGTAGAGAATTCCGGCCCTTGTGCTTGCAATCCTTAACACAAAAGCAAATCCCTTCAACCCCAGGATTCCATCCATCTGTGGCCACACTGCTGCCTTTCCTTCAAATCCCAACCCCCTCTGCCCTCTGTGCAGCTGCTCACAGACTCCCACCCCACCACTGGGGGTGCGGCTCCATCCAGCACCAGGTCACCGCCCTGCTGGGCACCTGGACCAGCCCTGCCAGTGAAGTGTTCCTCAGCCTCGAGGACACCCTCCCGTGCCTCCCGCCCAGCCCCACACTCGTGTCATGGCTCCGTGCCCATGTACGCAGGTCCCCAAGGCTCTCTCTCACCTCCAGCCTCTCGTGCTCTTCCTTCTGGGCGGACCTCCCTCTCTACAGCTGCCTGCTCTGACCCAGCAGCCCTTCCACATGGCCCCACACCCCAGTGTCCCCACCTGGGTGCAGCATCTCTGTGGGACCCCATGCTCAACCTCACTGCCAGATGCAGCCAACCCTCCCACCTCCTTCCCAGGACCTCAGCCCTGCTCCAGGGGACATGGATGGAGCAGCCCCCACAGGACCCCTCAGGACTCTGCTGATAAGGGTCATTGGGACCAGACACTGGGCCGTGTCCCTCATTTTGTCCAGGGCCTCACCCAGCCCTGTGCCCTGGGTTCCGAGCAGTGGGGTTAGGGGCTGGGCGCCCTGAGGTCACAGGGATCAAGCCATGTGGAGCCACCTCCCTCCTGCCCCAGCATGTCCGACGCACTCTGGGCTGAGTGAGACCCAGACAGACAGCAGGTCACTGCAGGGACCCTCATGCCCCGGGGCCTGGGCATCGACAGAGCTGCTGCCTCCAGAAAGTTCCATGGATGAAGGAAGGAGAAACTTACCAGTGGGGACTGCCCAGAGATTGAGAAGAAGGGGCCCGAGTCCCAGGGTCCAGAGAGCTGCGTTCATGGTCCCACAGCCCTCTGGGCTTCAGCAAGTCCTCACTGCTTAGCTGGGGCAACGGTGGAGGTCACAGCCCAGAGTCACATACACAGAGGTGGGAGCTGCCAAGGACCTCCTGGGGCCAATGGGGACAGCCACAGCCTTTCCAGAGCGAATCAGCAGCTCTGCCTCTCAGCCGTGAGCAGAGCAGCCAATGCCTTGCTGGCCTGAGCATCACCAGACATGGGGAGGGTGCAGGCTGTGGGTTTCCTCCCACACTGATAGCTGCTGATGGGACTAGACGCAACCACCAGGCAGGTGGTCGAACCTGCCCACAGCACAGCATCAGTGAAGCCCTGCATCTCCGTCCTCCACCTGGGCCCGTCGGCTTCAGCCATGCCACCACCACAGAAGGCAGTGACGCCAGACAGCCAGGGAGGCGTCCTCCGTGCTGCCAGATGGCACTAGTAGAATTAGGGGTAGGGGTAGGGTGAGGGTTTGAGTGGGAGTCCCAGCAGCACCAGAAGAATGACACGGAAGAACTATGCAAGAACTCTGAGAACTGAACTGTCGTTGGAACCAAAACTCTTGAGAGAAGATACAGCTAAGAATCACTCATGATATGAAGACCCAGGGACACGACCATTTCAATAAGAGACAATCAACTGAGGCCAGCACCAGGAAGACTCGGGTGTCAGAATTATCTGGCAAGGATTTTAAAACAGGCATCATAAAACTGTTTCCATAACAAATTGCAAATCCCCTTGAAATAAATGGAAAAATAGAAATCTCAGCAAAGAAATAGAAGTTATAAAAATGAAACAGTCTAGGCACGGTGGCTCACACCTATAATCCCAGCATTTTGGGAGGCTGAGGCAGGTGGATCACCTGAGGTCAGGAGTTCGAGACCACCCTGGCCAACATAGTGAAACCCTGTCACTACTAAAAATACAAAAAATAGCCGGGCATGGTGACGTGCACCTGTAGTCCCAGCTACTCGGGAGGCTGAGACAGGAGAATTGCCTGAACCCAGGAGGCGGAGGTTACAGTGAGCTGAGATTGCACCACTGCACTCTAGCCTGGGTGACAGAGTAAGAATCTGTCTTAAAAAAAAATGAAACAGTGGTAAGGATGTGCAGAAATGGGAACTCTCAGATTTTACTGGTAGACTCTGCAAAATGGTGCAACTGCTTTGAGAAAGTTTGGCAGTTTGTCCACATGTTAAATAGAGATATTCCAGGAAGATACCACTTGAGCCCAGGAAGGGCAGTTCCACTGCAGGGTACATATCTAAGAGGAATGTAAACTTATGTCCACACAAAAATCTCTACATGAATGTTCATGCAGCATTATTCATAATAAAGATGAAAACAGCTCACGTGTGCATCAACTGATTAATGGATAAAGAAAATGCAGTATGTCCATATTACAGAACGTCACTGAGCTGTAGAAAGGGAACGAGGCACCCACCCGACTAGATGTGCATCAACCAGGAAAACATGCTCAGTGAGAGAAGCCAGACTTAAAAGACCACATACTGGGTACGATTCCATTCATATGAGGTTTCCAGAATAGGCAAATCAATAGACATGCAAATTAGATTAGTGGTTTCCAGGGGCTAGAGGAGGAGGAAAGAAAAAAGGACTGAAAATAGTATGGTGTTTTTATTTTTTATTTTTATTTATTTATGTAATTTTTTATTGGGAGACAGAGTCTCACTTTCTTGTCCAGGCTGGAGTGCAGTGGCATGATCATAGCTCACTGCAGCCTCAACTTCCTGGCCTCAAGTGATCTTCCTACCTTAGCCTCCTGAGTAGCTGGAACTATAGGTGCATGCCACCATGTCTGGCTGATTTTTAAAATTTTTTGTAGAGATGGAAAGTCTTGCTATGTACCCAGGCCAGTCTCAAACTCCTGGCCTCATATGACCCTCCCACCTTGGCCTCCCAAAGTGTAGAGATTACAGGTGTGAGCCACTGCAGCCAGCTACAGGATGTCTTCATAAGGTGATAAAAATGTTCTGAAATTAGCTAGTGGTGATGGTTGCATAATCCTGAATATACTAAAATCCTCTGCACCACACACTTTAATGATATATGAACCTCAATCAAGTTGTTTTTAAAATAAATGAATATTATAGAACTGAAAATATAATAACTGAAATGTTAAAAACTCAATGAACGGACTTGTAGAATGGAAATGACAGAGGATGGCACCAGTGAACTTGAAGATACATCAATAGAATTTACTCAATGCAAACAACAGAGAGAAAATAGAAAAATTTATAGAGCCTCAGGGATCTGTGGGACAGTAATAAAAAGACTTAATCTTTGTATCATGGGAAATCCGGGAAAGTTAAGAGAGAGTGCTGGGCTGAAAATGTATTTAAAGTAACAATTACTGAAAACTCTCCAAATGTGATGAAAGGCACAAAACTACAGATTCAAGAAGCTGAAAAATCCCAAATAAGATGAATTCAAAGACATTCACACCAAGACACATAATTAAATTTTTGGAAACTAAAGGAAAAAAAAATTCTAAAAACAGCCAGACAGAAAGGATGCATTGACTATAAAAAATAGTCATGTGAATTACAGCTAATTTCTCATCTGAAATGGAAGCAAGTAGGAAGTGCCTTAATTTTAATTGACATGTAAGAATTTTACATATTTATGGGATACAGAGTGATATTTTGATACATGTATGCAATGCATAATGATCAAATCAGGCTAATTACCAAGCCCACCAAACATTTATCATTCATCTGTTGGGAACATTCAAAATCCTCTCTTCTAGCTGTTTGAAAATACACAAGTTACTGTGAATTACAGTCACCCCACAGAGCTACAGAACACTGGAACTTATTCCTCTGTAACTTTGTATTTATTAAACAACTTCTCCCTATCTGCTTCTCCCCTAACCCTTCCCAGTCTCCAGTAACTCTAATTTTACTCTTCTAACATGATGTCAATTTCTTAGTGCTGACATATGAGTAACAACTAGCAGTATTGCAGTATTGAACTTTTTCTACCTGATTTATTGCACTTAACATAATGTCCTACATGCACACACTGCTACAAATGGCAAGTTTTTTTTGTTTTTGTTTTTGTTTTTGTTTTTGAGATGGAGTTTCACTTTTGTTGCCCAGGCTAGAGTGCAATGGCGCAGTCTCGGCTCACTGCAACTTCCACCTCCCAGGTTTAAGCGATTCTTCTGCCTTAGCCTCCCGAGTAGCTGAGATTACAGGCTCGTGGCACTACACCCAGCTAATTTTTGTATTTTTAGTAGAGTCGGGGTTTTGCCATGTTGGCCAGGCTATTCTTGAACTCCTGACCTCAGACCAGAGACCTCAGGTGATCCACCTGCCTTGGCCTCCCAAAGTGCTGACATTACAGGTTTCTTTATTTTATTTTTTTTCTTGAGACACTCCCAGGGTCTTA